CATGCCTAAGGCGGGACTAGAACTCACCGTCTCCTGGTGATTGGCCCAAAGACACCCAGGCAGCTTTCATGCCTAAGGCGGGACTGGAACTCCCAATCTCCTGGTGATTGGCCCAAATCACCCAGCTGGCTTTCATGCCTAAGGTGGGACTAGAACTCCCAGTCTCCTGGTGATTGGTCCAAAGTCACCCAGCTGGCATTCATGCCTAAGGTGGGACTAGAACTCACCGTCTCCTGGTGATTGGCCCAAAGACACCAAGGCGGCTTTCATGCCTAAGGCGGGACTAGAACTCACTGTCTCCTGGTGATTGGCCCAGAGACACCCAGACGGCTTTCATTCCTAAGGTGGGACTAGAACTCCCAGTCTCCCGCTTTCCAGCCTAGAGCCTTAACCCCCCAGACCAAAGTGATTGTTTCCAGCTCATCTGAAAACCTAACAGGTTGTTTCCATAGTTATATTGGAGGACTGTAATTTGGGGATGGTTGTCATTTCTCTTTCACTAAGCAAATCTTATGTCTGTTCATTGGCAGAAATCCAACAGTAGCTCAGCTTTTTCTACTAAGTACATAGGAATGTACATAAGAGCAATATCTTGAATTTCTGGGTGTGTGTCTCTGGCGGGTCCGACTGTTAAAACAAAAATGACAACAACTCTGGAGTCTCTTTCAAGGAAAAAGTATATCCTTAGCTGGAAGCTCTGTGCTTAAACGTGAAATTTCAGTTTCAAATTCAGTTTACTCTTGCAAATGTATGCCTGCCTATTACAAAGCTGCTAGTCCTCAGGAAGGTTTACTGTCCTGAGTTTGTATTTCTCGTTCTTGCGGGCTGTCACTGGGCCCAGATGACAAAAGCAAACCTGGCTTTTGATGTAATTTGTTGTAGGTTGTCTTCTGGAATTAATTTCTGTGTCTGCAGGTGGCTAAATGATGGATTGCTTATGATGGGCTGGGGTGTAAACATGTCCCCAAAGGAACTTCACAATCTGGTTTCATTTAATGTGGACAAATTTTATTGAGCCTCAAAACTTCTGGGTGCCAAAACTGCCTGCTAAAAAAGCCCATTGTTTTCCATTAGGTGGCTGCCCGTAGTAGCCAGCCAGTCCTTAACGCCAGCTTTTAACTCCGAGTCCTGAGAATGGAATACAGATAGTCCTCGACTTACATCCATTCGTTTAGCAACTGCTCAAAAGAACAACACCACTGAAAAAAAAGTGACTTAACAGCCATTCCCCACATTTACGACCATTGCATCCTGTGAAAACCATTTGCAACCTTCCCAGCTGGCTTCCAACAAAGTCATTGATGGGGTGGGGAGAGTCAGATTCATGTAACGACCATGTGATTCGCTTAACGACTGCAGTGATTCGTTTAACAGCCGTGTCCCAAAAAGGTTGTAAAATCCGGTGCAACTCATACTTTACTTTACTTTTACTTTTATTTAATTTCTACCCCGCCCTTCTCCCAACGGACTCAGGGCGGCTTACAGCCATTTAAAACAATACATAATACAATAAATACTAAATTTAAAAAGTAATTAAAACACAATATTAATTGGCCATTTCTTTTTAAAATTGTTTTAAAAAACCAGATTAAAACATCCCTTAGGCCAGACCTGCTAGCTTAAATAGCCATGTCTTGAGGGCGTTGCGGAAGGAGGGGAGATCCGGAATCACCCGGATCTCTGGGGGTAGTTCGTTCCATAGGGTGGGGGCTCCAACCGAGAAGGCCCTCCCCCTGGGGGTCGCCAGCCGGCACTGTCTGGCTGACGGCACCCTGAGGAGACCCTCTCTGTGGGAGCGTATCGGCCGATGAGAGGTAATCTGCGGCAGAAGGCGGTCTCGGAGA